AACTTCTCCAAATGAATTATCAACACATTAAACACAACAAGACAACACAGAATTTTACACCACAAAATTAAGCATACATCATGTTCAACATCTCTAAATGAATTATCAACACATTAAACACAACAAGACAACTCTCAGCATGCTTTTTAACTCATATTCATAATCATGAATTTTCCTAAACATCATTTATATAATCATTGAAACAATTAACTTCCAAATTAAACATGTTTGTCACAGCAAGAGAGATATAATTCACAATGGAGTAAGAAAAACATGGATTAAGAGCCCCTGCCTCTAAATTGAACAAAACCCTTAAAAGTGGGTCTCTAAACTCGAATGCACAAATGAGTACCAAAACTGAAATTGTTGGTACAACCGCATAGAGCTCGTCGTGGGTTTCGTTTTGCCTTAAATGGCACTTAAAAACACTAAGAGATGAGGGAAAAATCAGCAATGAAAGTTTGAAGTGAAAAAAAAAAGAAAAAAAAGAAAAAGAAAAGAAAGAGAAGCCGAGAGCAAACAGAGACGGGAGAGAGTGTGAGGAAGCAGAGACCAAATGTGGTCTCACAATCCACTTAAATGGGGCGTGGGTCCCACCTTTTTTTTCTTCTTTTTCTTTTCTCTTTTTTTTTTTATTTTTTTTTATAAATTACACCACACACACACAATTATATACATATGTACATATATACATAGACATTACAATTAGTGGGAGTAATTGGGCATTAAAATGTAATTGGTTACATATGTCTTAGAGTCTATATAAACTCATGTACTATACCTATTTTATGTGGGGAGAAAAGTTGAATGAGTAGAAGAGTAAGATGAATTAGTCAAAGTGAAATAAAAAGTGTTTTCCTCCATTTTTATTCTCTTCCAAGTATTATTGAGTGTTGTGTGTATCTAGGCCACTATTTCCAACAAAGTGGTATCAGAGCAAAGTCAGAAAGTGGTATCAGAGTAAAAGCCAACAAAGTAGTATCAAAGCCAGGTCATTATCAGAGCTAGGTTCCATATCAGAGCCAGATTTTATCTTCAGAGACTAGATGATCCTAAAGGCGTGACGAAGTTGATCTTAGATGGTTCAACGTTTTAAGGAAAACATGTTTCTCCTTGATGATGATGAAGAAGGGAAAATGTATTTTCTTAATGAAAAGATGATGTTCTCTAATTGCAAGAGAATGAGAATCATCATGACTTCATACCTCAAAGCATGTGATTTGTGGGATGTTGTTGGAGAAGAGCCAAAGAATGGCATGTCCAACAAACTTCGTGAAAAGAAAGAAAAGAAAGCGTTTGTGCTGTTGTAAAAGGCAATACATCAAGAAATTTGGGAGTATTTTGGAGAGTCCAAAACTCCAAGTTGTATTTGGAAGATGCTCGAGACCATCGTTTCCAATCATAGAGGTGAATCACTACCCATAGAGTATTGGGTACAATGCTTAGAGGATGATGAGTTTATGAAAGATGATTATGAAAGTCTTGATGACAAAGTTGTGGAGAATGAAGAGGTGTATCACACAAATGAAGTTGAAGAATTTGAAGAACAACTTGAAATGGTGAATAAGGAAGAGATAAAGAAATGTGTTGAAGAATGGTTAAAAAAAGTGGAGGAGAATGAAGTTAAAAGAGAAGTCAAAGGAAAAGAAAGTGTTAAAGAATATGCATAAGTTGATGAATTTGGTGCATTAACATCTTCAGGTATAGTTACAAATTCTATCTTGAAAAAAGTTATATTTGAATTATTTGATAAAATTATAATTTATTCATATTCATCTCAATTGGAAAAAGAAATCAAATACTATGAAAATTATGTTCATATTGTGGAGAATGACGAACTTCTCTTAAAGAAAGTTGTTCCAAAGAAGTACGAGATTGCAGCCCAAGATGATAAGAAATTCTCAAATTATTTTTTTAAAAATAGTTTGGAGAATTTTGTAATTGATATAGGTTGAGTGAATATGGAGTTATTTTTTGACTCTAAAGAAAAAGCATATGTGAAGTTGAAGAGTCATAAAAAATTCAAGAACAAAAAAGATCGATGGTGCGTTTGTATAAAGAGGATGATATATGATTATGTGAAGACATCAAATAAGCATTTGAAAAATTTTCACATGCCATATACGTCAATGGAAATGGCCAAGAAGATTGTTGCAGATGAAGGAGATGGAACTTAAAACAAAGTAACAAACTTTTGATGCAGATGAAGGAGGTGGAACTCAAAACAAACAAACTTTTGATGAACTTAAGTTACAAAATCAAGTTTAAAGGAGGGTGTTGAAAATAAACTTGATTTTAGAATTTTAGTTGTAATTTGTATTTTCAAGTATTTGGTATACATAATGCATGTGTCATTTCATGTTAATGGGGTAAATGATCTTGATGAAGAAGGTTATGTAAGACTAAGAGGTATGTGAATTAAGTCTCCTAAATACTATGTTAGAGGGAGTTTGTATTTGTGTTAGTGAAAGACGTGAGAGTTAAGTCTACTAAATACTATGTTAGTGGGATTAGTGGGAATAATTGGGCATTGAAATGTAATTGGTTACATATGTCTTAGAGCCTATATAAACTCATGTACTATACCTATTTTATGTGGGGAGAAAAGTTGAATGAGTAGAAGGATAAGATGAATTAGTCGAAGTGAAATAAAAAGTGTTTTCTTCCATTTTTATTCTCTTCCAAGTATTATTGAGTGTTGTGTGTATTTAGGCCACTATTTCCAACAAAGTGGTATCAGAGCAAAGTCAGAAAGTGGTATCAGAGTAAAAGCCAACACCATGGACCAGAGCATGTCAACTACTAATATGAAAGATCTCTATACATGTACAAAATAGTACTCTTCTCAACATAAGCATACTCTTTCCCTAAAGCTATTTCTTGCTTCTTTTGTCTTTCCAGATACGGCCGATCTACTTGTTTATAAAAAACCTAAACCCCCTGAACTGTACGTCCATCAAGCCCGGTTAAGGCCATCCATTTCGCGAATGCATTGGCTGATGAAAAAATGGCTATTTTAGAGGCTTCAACATCATTTCGAGCAACTGTAGAGCAGAAGAATATGGATTAGTCTTACAAGCTGACACTTCTTTCAACAATGAAATGACAATAAGTTTAGTGTTTCAGTATGTGACTAAAAAGCACAAATTCAGTGAAACTTGGTTTTGTGACCTCACCTGATTGTGTCAAAGATGCTAGTGGGGACTATAGCTCACCTCAGCATTCTCTTCAAAACTATAGCTCAACTTTTGAAAAGGTACATGAAATGAAAAAATCATTGAACATAAGCTGTTGTATAAACAATATACCAACCAAATGTATGCAAAAAAAAAAAAAAATAAAAAAAAAAAAAAAATAAAAATAACAACCCTATATATATCAATCTGTAAATGCATTCCTGTTGAGTTAACCTTTTGTTCAAGCTTCGAGATGACTGATATTACATTATTACCTTGTTCCGGTTTCGGATCCTTCAGTAGGAGAGCATTATTAAGAGCAGAACTTGATACCAAAGCATCCTCTAATAGATGCAAAGCCTGCAAAAGAAATATATGTATATATAAATTGTCAGCAAGGAGTTAATAGAACTACAATTATGAAAGAAAACAGGCATTTCAAAACATAATACTCGCACATCCCTCACGTGTGATCCAAACTTGCACATGGAGAAGTAGACACAATGGGTAGATCAAGTGTTTCTGTAAAGCAAATTTGATGAATATAAACGTACTCCAACACCCTCTATGTAAGGTGTGATCTCCTCTGGTCAAAACAGAGTCATAAACCCAAGACCCCAAAGTTAATTTTTTCCATTTTTTTTTAAGTATTCAAAAGCAAATGTTATTGTCTTTTTAGTGAAAAGTTGTGATTTAGTAAGGCTAATGGATTTTTGAGTGTAAAGTTTCAAGTATTGTCATCAATGAACTTCATGAGCTAAACTTGGAAATTGGGACTCAATAATGTTCTCTATTTATTGTTGTTAATGGTGTATTACGTAGATTATTGTGCTAGCCAATACACAGATATAAGTGATCAAATGCCAGTTTAAGGCACCGTGATGATGGTGCTTGTCAATACACAGATATAAGTGATCTTCTTAGAAGCTTAATACTTTAAATAGATATAATGCACGCAATGAATTTACCATGTCCCCACTAATGGTCACCTCCCGTTTCATAATGTCAGTGAGGGGTACCTTCATTCTTTAGATAAGAGAAATGGATCAGATTGGAGATAAGGGTGTTATGGTCAAATTATCGGTCACCTAGAACAAAGAAGGTCCCTTTATGAATCCTTTGCCAGTATAGTTTCACTTAAAGAAGACTGCACACGCTTTGCGGTAAAAAGGGAATAAGCACATGACAATGATGGATATGAAGCTTCCTCGATGGGAATGAGCTGTTTGTTCCAAGCAAGACCAGGAACAAGCTTTGGATCAACTAAAATTGCCTTCAGCTCTTTAGATTTTAAGAATTCTTCAACATCAAAATCATGTATGCTCTTATATAAATTATACAAGCATCCACTTAGGGACAGCAATGGCAATTCCTTAAAGGTATAGCCAAGTGGAAATGTAAGAAAACTGCTTATTAGATCAACAAAATCTTCATTTGCTTCTGCATACAAAACCCTCTTGATAGATTTGTTGACAATAAGCTTCAAAGTCATCTTTGTAGAATTCAAAACCGGTGTTCTTGGACCATGTTTTTTTATGTAAAGACCTCATCCACTGTCAATTGATTTCAAGAAGGTCTGAGAGAAAGGGGCTTTCGATGTTAATGAACATATGAGCAGTTTTAGAACCTGAGATAAAGAGAGAGCATTAATTTAATTTTCTTTTTATAAAAACACCAAAGAGAGCAACTAGTTAACCTGTTGATTGCAACTAGTTAAGACTGCTCATTAAGCAGGGCTAAGCCTGTCATAGTAGACATGGGCATCACTTGGAAATTATCTGCTATCATGAAGCATGAAGAAGGTTTCACAAAAACTGTTGTATCTTAAGGAACAGAGGTGGGATTTGATAATCTTACCACATTACTCATGGTACTCCCACAACGGCAGTGAGCAGTCTTATAAGCACTCAAAGGGCACTCTGGATTGTCACAGACATAGTACTCATTAGAATTACTATTAACAAGATTCAATTTTAGGTTTCTGCAGGACAATTCTACAGAACTTTGGGAATGAAGCAGCATCTCCTTACACTTCACACTTTGAAGATGTTTCTCCTCGTGATTCTCAACACTTTCATATAAGTTGTTGAGGCAACCAAATGACTCTTTTGGCGGGTGCTCACGGGTGAGGCTAATAATAATTCCAAGTGGCATGGTCATGAAGCTGAAGAGAACATCGACAAAATCCTTATTGGGCTCGGCAAAAACAACTCTATTTTTCTCATTAACAACCCGGACCTTCAGACTTATACTTTGTAAAGCTTTAGCAGCCATAGATCTAATGAAAAATCTAGCTAATGTTTTAAGCAATTGCCCCCTGCATCAACTATCACATAAAATGTTAAAAGTTGTTTATCACACAAAATGATCAAAGCATGCACATGTTTAGGAATATAAAACATTTTTATCAGATGATCACAATGAATAATGAACCAGTCCCAAGCACCCATTCAAGCGTTGATAAAATTTGATAAAAGAAAATTGTTATTGAAACATTTTTATACTTTTTCCTACATGATCAATAGATATATGCTTCCCCCCAACCTCCAATTACTAAGTTTATCAACAAAATTAGTCATCAAATAGCCCCTTATATTGTTGATTATAGCTCTACCAATAAAATTGCAATGAAGAGGTTAACATTGCCTCAGAAATAGGATGAATTGATATACACGCACAAATATGTTAGAACTCAGAATCAGTGGGCTCTTGGACTAGGTTTAGAAGTTGAGAAATGCAAGTCGAATGGACTAATGATCTTGCTACATACTTAGGACATGTTTGGTAAATTTTTTCAAAACTTCTGGAGAAACTGAGCCAAACCTTATATTGTTGATTACAGACTTACCAATAAAATTTCAATTAAGAGGTTAACATTGCTTCAAAAATAGGATGAATTGATATATACATTCATATATATGTCAGAATTCAGAATCTCCTCTTTTTATTTTCTTCCTCGCATGTAATTCCGAGCCCCAAAAACCAAAAACGACCAATTGTTTTTATACTACAAGTATGTATATGAACATTGAAATTACATGCATATATATATAAAACCAAGGGTTTGATATTAGTGGTATACATTATACATATATACATACATATAGATAGAAATGAAAAAGAGAAATGTATCGGTAAATCTAAAATTGCTCTGATTGATCTCGTAGTTTCATTCACGCGTGTATGTGTGAGAGAAAGAATGGGGGGGGATCCTTCCCAGAGGTGAGAAATGAGAGAAGTGTGAGGCTTTTAACGGGGATAGAGAGGGAGAAAAGGACGCGAAAATGGACATCAATTTGGGGACGTGGCAGATCCCATGCGGTACTTTTCGTGCAATTCAAGAGCAGCATGGGGCATTGTGCCTCATTGGTTACAATATTGTATTTAGATATAATATGTTAAATATTTGTGCATTTTCAAAATAAACTTGTTGTCGGAGTGTGTGCACCTATATTTAATTGCGCGTGTATGTGTGTGTGAGAAAGAGGGGGAGATGCTTCCCAGAGGTGAGAAATAAGAGAAATGTGAGGGTTTTAGGGCGGATAAAGAGGGAGAAAATGACACGAAAGTGGACATCAATTTGGTGACGTGGCAGATCCCGTGCGGTACTTTCTGGGTAATTCAAGAGCAGCATGGGGCATTGTACCTTATTGGTTACAATATTGTATTTAGATATAATATGTTACATATTTGTAAATTTTCAAAATAAACTTGTTGTCGGAGTGTGTGCACCTATATTCAATCGCGTGTATGTGTATGAGGGAAAGATAGAGAGAGGGGAGATGCTTCCCAAAGGTGAGAAATGAGATAAGTGTGAGGGTTTTAATGGGGGATAGAGAGGGAGAATAGGACGCGAAAGTGGACAGGTGACGAGCCAGATCCCTGGCGGTACACTTTCGTATATACTTTCAGTACAATTCAAGAGGCAAAGCATATATGGGGCATTTTAAAACATAATACTAGTCCATCCCTCACGTGTGATCCAAACTTACACATGGAGAAGTAGACACACTGGGTAGATCAAGTGTTTGTGTAAAGCAAATTTGATGAATATAAACATACTCCAACACCCTCTGCATAAGGTGTGATCTCCTCTGGTGAAAACAGAGTCATAAACCCAAGACCCCAATGTTAATTTTTTCCATTTTTTTTTAAGTATTCAAAAGCAAATGTTATTTTCTTTTTAGTGAAAAGTTATGATTTAGTAGGGCTAATGGATTTTTGGGTGTAAAGTTTCGAGTATTATCTTCAATAAACTCCATGAGCTAAACTTGGAAATTGGCACACAATAATGTTCTCTATTTATTGTTGTAAATGATGTATTACGTAGATTATTGTGCTAGTCAATACACAGATATAAGTGATCAAATGCTACTTTAAGGCACTGTGAAGTTGGTGCTTGTCAATACGCAGATATAAGTGATCTTCTTAGAATTTTAATACTTTAAATAGATATAAAGCAGTGAATTTACCTCTTCCCCACCAATGGTCACCTCCCGTTCCATAATGTCAGTGAGGGGTACCTTCATTCTTTGGATAAGAGACATGGATGAGATTGGAGAAAAGGGTACTATGGTCAAATTATCGGTCACCATAAACAAGGAAGATCCCTCCATGAATCCTTTGCCAGTATTGTTTCCCCTAAAGAAAACTGCACACGCTTTGCATTAAAAAGGGAAGAAGCATACGACAATGGTGGATAAGAAGCTTCCTCGATGAGAATGAACTGTTTGTTCCAAGCAAGACCAGGAGCAAGTTTTGGGTCAACTAAAATTGCCTTCATCTCCTAAGGTTTTAAGAATTCTTTAGATCAAAATCTTGTATGCGCTTGTATAAATTATACAAGCATCCACTTAGGGACAACCTTGGAAATTCCTTAGGGTGTGTTTGGATAAATAGTGGAGAAAAGAAAAGAAAGGATAATATTAGTTAGGAGAGAAAAGAAAAGAAAATAAAGGATAGTAATAATTTATATTCGTGTTTGGATAGATAGGGGAGGAAAAAAAAATAATAATAAAAAAATAAAAAAAGAATAATTATTCTTGTTTGGATAAGATAGATGAGAGAAAAGAAAAGAAATGATAGTGACCAAATTACTGTCCTACTCTTTATAATAGTCATCACCCTACACCTTTTTCTTTTTTTCTTTTTAAATTGAAAGTAGATGCATAGCCTCTCGTACACGGGGGGTTCCTGCAAAATTTTAAAGTAATTTCTTGTATAACCCTAAGAAAGTGTTGCACATATACACACACATTCTGAGATACCCCTCGGATCCGAGACACGGGTTGATCAGGCCCAGGCCCAAACCCAAGAGAATATCAACCAATTAATATTTTATAATGAACACGGAATACAAAATAAATTAAGAAATGAAATTAAAGCTGGAAGGAACTAAAAATAAAATCCGCAAAATATTATAATTATTAAAATCCATCAAACTCAAACTCCAAAACTCCATCAGTTTACAACTTGGGAATCCATCTCTAGTTGACCCCTATTAAACATCCAAACGGAAAATAGAACAACTGTAATAAACGTCCAGAAATAAAACTATAGAGAGAGCCCTACATCGTCGGAAGAGTGAATAGAGACCTCTGCTCAGCACGAACACGTCTAAGCCTGGAACTGTCGTGTACCTGAAAAATAGAAGTGGGTCAGGCCCACGCGTAAGTTCCTATACTACTACAATCCAAACAGAGGCCCGATATGCATGTACATCCTAAACAATTCAACAATAGCTAATAGTCCGTAAATATATATATATAGTCACACTAAAGGACTCTCACTGGACTACAGGCCGGTCTCAACCTGAATAGAGGTAACATGCTAAAACGTACACGAAGTGGGCATATGTACCTATACCTAAACAGGGTACACCTCCAACCATCATAGCCAGCTACACATCCCGATGCATATACGCTCCCTAGCCATCGGTCCTGAGGCTCAAGCTCATACCGAGGCACCATAACAGTACATATATAAAATCCATCCAAAATCCCTAGTATTGCCGCTCAACAAGTAGTTGCCATGACAATACAAATCCACGGGACTTAACTTTTAGTTAATCCCATCCTTATTCCAAGTAGATGGGTAATGGTATTGTTTTAAAAACCAAACCCATCCTTAGTATGCCACCGTCCCATACCGGTGCCTACTTTCCAATCCTCCAGTAGTCAATAATACCAATAAATCAAGTATATATCAACTAAATTCCAACATCCAACATTCAATGTTAGCAGTGATAAAATAAGCATTGATAAACAGGGTCACAATAACAACATATACATGCCCAATTTAAGTTGTTCCCTTTAGTCTGATATAAAGACAGAATTAATTAAAACTTCCATTTAACACCTTACAAATGACATACAGATATGTAGGGTATGTATCACAAAATCCTAACCTCCACAGTTGATACTAACTGTGATAATGTAAGCATCAAAACAATATTCACAGTATGTATGTAGACATGCTCAAATTATAGTGTTCCACAAAACCGATCTAGTGTTAAACTCAAATCCTCCTAGTATTTAAGTTCCAACAGTTGCTATTACAGAAGTTAAGATAGCTATCATCTAGACCCATCCTTCCAATAATTTATACTAGCAGTGGTAAGGAAAAATGTGAACCACAGAACCATAATGCATCCACAAACATGTTTAGTCTAGGTTGAACAAGCATACAACACTACTGTAACTACCAGTTTCATAGCAAAACAGATATCATTTTAGTTTGGTTTAATCTTCATTAATCCTGGAATCATTTAAGAGTGCAAAGAGTATGAAGCCTAAGGGAAAGAGAAAGGATAGAATCTTGCCTCAGAAACTTTTGTTCAAAGTTTCAACGTTGTCTTCTTAAAAAATCCCGGCGAGTTCCAAAACCCAGTTACTGTTCACGAGTACGAAACACTATTCCCGAACTCAAAATCTGATCTTCACCGTTCAGATTGTGCGACACTGAGTCATGAACCTATCCTCCAAATTTTAGCTCGATCGGACCACGGACGAAGCGGGATCGGATGTTTGATGAAATCTGGGCAGAATAGAAAAAAAAAAACCTGTGCGACCCGGTTACTGTTCACGAGTACGAATCATTGTTCCCGAGGTCAAACTCTGATCTCCACCGTTCAGATTGTGCGTCACTGAGTCGTGAACCTCTTCTCCAAATTTCAGCTCGATCGGACCACGGACGAAGCGGGATCGGAGCTTTGATCAAACCTTGGCAGAATGTGAAAAACTGCGTTTTTCCTTCTCCACTTCCACAAAACGTGTGCTTTGTTTAAAAAAAACCCTACACAGACGTCTACCTTATACTTATAGAGTTTTCCTAAACCCTAGGTTCATTTAAGTCCAACTCACAATCCTAACCGGCCCATCCAATTAACGTAGAAACCTATGACGATAATATAAAACCCTAATTTATAATGTAATTAAAACCCTAGTTAGATGTATTTACCTATTTACCCTATTCACCATTAAATACTTAACAAATAATCTAATTGAACAAAATAATAATTAGTAAACCCAATTAAACCAAATAAGACACATAAAATAAGACACACATAGAATAATTAAACCAATTACACTTAAACCATTAATGCCACTTAAATAATTAAAACACTAACAAGTAATTCCAATCAAATAACTAAAAATAAATATCATTTAAATAATTTAAATCACCACAAAAGAAAACAATTAAGCACCTAATAAAAAAAATAATGACACATAATCAAATAAAATGCATTTAAATAATAAATTAAATACCATTAAATACCAAGAATATCCTTTTTAAAATTAGGGGTATTACATTCTTCCCCCCTAACAAAAGGAATTCCGTCCTCGGAATTCACTCTTACCTTCTTCCAATATTTCAGGAAACTGTGAGCGAATGACATCCTCTCGTTCCCAAGTGGACTCAGACTCATTGTGATGACTCCACTGAACACGAACCAAAGGAATAACCTTATTACAAAGAATCTGATCTCATCGGTCGACAATACGACACGGTGGCTCTAAATAAGTTACATCCGGCTGCAACGCAATCTCCCCAACATCGATATGCTGATACCGATCCTCATCTCGAAGAAATTTCCGCAACATGGAAACATGAAACACGTTGTGGACGCGATCTAAAGTATCCGGAAGTGCCAACCGATAAGCAACAGCTCCAATGCGATCCGTAATCATGAATGGACCAACAAATCGCGGTGACAACTTCCCTTTCTTCTCAAAGCGCATAACACCCTTCATAGGAGACACTTAGAGTAGAACCTGATCCCCAACCTGAAACTTCAAAGCCCGAGTACGACGATCAGCATAGCTCTTCTGCCTACTTTGGGCAGTACGCATGCAATCTCGAATAAGAACAATCTTTTCAGAGGTATCCTTGATGAACTCAGGACCTAAGAATCGATTCTCTCCAACCTCCATCCAACAAACAGGTGATCGACACGGTCGACCGTACAATGCCTCAAATGGTGCCATACCAATAGTCTTCTGGAAACTATTGTTATAAGCAAACTCCACAAGTGGCAAATATTCCTCCCAGTGGCCCTTGAAATCCAGAACACACGACCAAAGCATATCTTCCATAATCTGATTCACCCTCTCAGTCTGTCCGTCAGTCTGAGGATGATAAGCAGTACTAAGGTGTAACTCCGTACCTAAAGCCTGCTGAAAACCCTTCCAAAATCCAGATACAAAGCTCGAATCCCTGTCCGATATAATAGACAATGGAATGCCATGTAGCTTCACAATCTTCGAAATGTAAAGCCTCGTCAACTGCTCCGAAGTGTAGTCAGTGCAAATAGGCAAGAAATGAGCTGACTTGGTCAACCTATCCACAATGACCCATATGGAATTATGCCCCTTGAAAGAATTTGGCAACTCTTCCACAAAATCCATAGATATGCTCTCCCATTTCCACTCCGAAATTGGTAGTGGCTGTAGAGCTCCTGGCGGCCTCTGATGATCAATCTTAACCATCGGACAAGTACTACATTGAGAAACAAAAAGAGCAATGTCCCTCTTCATACCTGCCCACCAAAACTGCCGCTTCATATCTTGATACATCTTATCGCCTCCTGAATGAACAGAGAACTCAGAGTGATGAGTCTCAATCATCACATCCTTCCTCAAATTATCAGCAGAAGGTACCACTAACCGTCCCTTGTACCTTAAACCTCCATCAGCCCCAACATAGTAGAATGGAACCTCTCCGGAAGCTATCTCTGCGACCTTGTCGACACACTGCTGATCGGTGAGTTGTGCTTGTAAAACCCTGCGAATAATGGAAGGTGTAACCACCATACAAGCCAGAAAAGCATCCGATAACTCATCCACACTCTTTAAAGCATTCCACTCAGTAGTAAATAGAGCAGAAAGACTACCAATAGGTCGGCGACTGAGTGCATCCGCCACTACATTTGCTTTCCCTGGATGGTACTGTATAGAAAAATGATAGTCTTTTACAAACTCCAACCACCTGCGCTATCTCATATTTAGCTCCCGCTGAGTGAACAAGTACTGCAGACTCTTGTGATCACTGAATAATCTGAAGAACTCACCCAACAGATAATGCCTCCAAATACGCAAGGCAAAGACCACTGCTGCCAACTCCAAATCATGTGTTGGATAATTAAGCTCATGAGGCTTAAGTTTCCGAGATCCATAAGAAATCGGTCGCTCCTCCTGCATCAATACGCATCCAATACCCTGCAACGAAGCATCCGTGTAAACAAGATACTCTATCCCGCTCTGCAGAGTAGCCAGAACTGGTGCAGAA